AACTTTCCCGTTTTCCTTTACATATTGAAAAGTAGCAACATTTGTCTGGATTACAAAAATTAGGTTTTTGCGAATGGTATAAAAATTCTATGGTACAAGAGGGTATCTTGGCAACTCATGTATCAAAAACGAGCGAAAACTAATAATGTCGCTTTGCTAGGTTTACAGTAGTTAACATTATTACTTATATTGTGGTTGCTTATCAACTATACATTAACTTTATCTTAGTCTACTTGTCTTAGTTCTTATTTACCGGCGCAACTGTTCCTAGCTAGCCTTTTGCATCTGTTAGTTTTTTAAAGTTATTTTATTATTTTACGCTTTGAAAAGTATTTCATTTGATTTTTTTTCCGGTCAGCATGGGCCAGTGTGCATGTATGTGAGTCATGCATGGTCGTAGTACCTTAGCTACGAGCAATCTTGTAGGAGATTCACCTCTTTGCAGATGCACATTGGCCCCTGCGTTTAGTGTTCTAAAATCGGCACGGAAAGTTTTGAAGAAAGGGGAAAAAAAATCAATGTGGATACGCCGATGTTACACATGCGTATATCCACATAATTACATGGATAGGTATAAATAGACATAGACAAGGCGTATTAGTAAAGCTCTGCTTGTCAAAGGGCTTAGGATTTTAACATAGTGTTTAATCAAGCACACAGAAAAATTTTGATAAAAAAACATAAGGAATACGGATTAAAGAAAAAATTTTTCTAATAATGGAAGAACTTTGCAGAAACACAGCAAATTAAGTATTAACGAAAGAGGTAATCCCAGAATATGTAGTATATGATAGGAAGTGGAGTTAGGCAGGAAAGGCCTCTATTTCCAAATTCTTTCAATAATTAACTAGAAGTTTAACAAGAGAAAGAAAAGAGAAATTTATTTAGAGGAATAACGGAAGCATAGTAATAGAAGGGTCAAAGATCTTTTTACCGAAACTTTCCTCCCGTTTTATAAGAAGAAAATTTTACCACAACCTGTATAGGAGGCTGCGCCTCTAGTATCAAAAGCCTGTAATGTGAGACTTTCTTCAATTTTTCTCTCTACATAGGTAATGTGGTAATAATAGAAAATTCCACTGGCAAACCCGCCTCAAAGTAGCTAGAATTCATAGAGAGCTCTTTCTCACTTCTCTTCGTACAATATTGTTCAATCAGGTCTCAAGAAAATGTGTAAGAATTTTCAGAGTACAATACTTATTAAGCAAATAAAATTGAGGAAGCTATTTTGCTTAAAATGCATTAATCAGAGTCAATTTGTTCTACAAAGTAACTTCCAAAATATTTTTTGTTCAATATCATAACCTGCTGTTATTACATAGACACAATGAAATACGAGTGGAATTAAAAAAAAATAGTTTTATGAGGTTATCTCCGTATACGGACGAGTTTCAATATCATGTCACATACTCTATATAGGTAAGATCGATGAGGGAACATCTAGTTGGGTGCCACCGATTTCTACGGTGCATCTCTGGACTCATCAGTAAAACATATCCAATAGTTTATGCTTGAGACCATCGCAGGTATCTTGGTTCATCTAGAGGTCCTATTTATACTAACCACTATTTATTTCTGGTACTTGCAGGCAACCTCAAACTACGCGTACAAGACAACTAGCAGATAGTTATCGAAGAACAACGTAGCATTATAAAGAGAGCTCAGCACGTGCAGATTACCGTCAGCATGTTATTTTTGTAGGAATAATCACTATAAAAATTATAGTTTTATTCTCTTGGTATAGATCTCATTGAAATGCAACTCATCGTTTGGAGAACGGTACAGTACTTTAAAAAAAATTTTTTTTTTGTTTTGTTAATGTATGGAAAAAGTATTAACTTATATACACTAACAAGAAATACCTTGCAGAAGTACAAAAAGTTTTTTTGAAGTTAAAACAACAGTTAGAATTTGAACAACCGTAATAAACGCTTAACTATATTAAAACGCGTAAAAAATATTATCGTAATCATATATCTTTCAAAATTCACGTAAAGATTGCTCTATCAAGTTAAAATGGTTACAACACGGTTAATTATAAACGTCAGAGTTATATCGAGGTTCAGCGCAGCCAAACAAATTTTTAAGTTAATAATCATTTTGTGACGTCATTTTTAACATCAGACAAAAATCGTTTTGTACGGTTAAAGACCCCCATAAGAGACTGAATTCCAAATTTTAAGGAATTTTTATACAAAAATGTTAAAGTCAATAATGTTGTACAATTAAAATTTGAAATGGCGATTTACACTTTTTTTGTGCTATAACTTGGCGAAAAATAGGTTTCAGATAATCTAACTAGCACTGGTCGGTAGATAGTTGAATAATAAATAAGTTATCTTTATCTATTTTACCAATATAGTGCCCCAAAAAAAGTTATAAGCAAAATTTGAAAAAAAAATGTGGGTCGATTTTCACGATTTATTTAATAACAAAAAAGGCAAGCACAATAATGCCTCAAAACTATTTTTTCGTGTATTCTGATCACAATACAAAGCGATTCTAATAATTTTCGTTATAGTCGCAGAAAATTTCTTATTGACCATTTTTTGAGGCTTTATCTACTCGCCAAAGGTGTGGACGAACACGTACACGCACCACATGCAACGAAGTTTTTCAAATTTCTTTATTTTCATCCGTTTGTTCTTGTTAATTTTTTCTTTTGGAGTTTTCTCTTCAAAGTTTTCAACCTTGAGATACAAATTACATCAAATTACATAAAATGTGGTATGTACTAATTTCTGCTAGTTTTAATTAATTCTATCAACCTGACATCTATTTTTTTCATGTTTACGCATTCAAAATTTTTTTTTGACAATCAGTATATTAAGGAGGTTGACTACCTTTGGAGGGGGTACGAGATAGAGGTCTGACTTTGTGCCTTCTTAAGGTCAGAAATGCGTGCGCATGTCCCATAATTTGATATTGTGTAGTATTTATACTCCAGAGTATTCATTAATAACTATTTTTACAAGGAACTAATTGACGTGAGTGTTATACATAATGTTATGGATGTGGCTTGGCTGGGTCAAACCAGCGCCCGTATATTGGCATACTGGTGTACAACTGACGACACAATAGAGCATCTAAAAGTTCAATTAATACAGCCGCTCTCGGCGGCGCCACGGCGGTCGTGGCTGAGCAGTCAGCGTAAAAGTTTTGCAAATCCTTAGTTGACGGGTTCGAGCCCCTGCTCCGTCTTTTTAGCGGAGCATTTCACGATAATATTTTGGACTCTTTAATCTATTTACTTAATAAACCGGAATTACCTGCTCCCCATCAACACGAGAATCTCCGAAGCTTGTTCCGTAACAAGCGTAATTTTGTGTCAGAAGGTGGGATGTAGATTTGGATATCGCCTAAGGCGGTCGAGAGGGTAATTCGCACAAAAAATCAACTCTGATGTGCACCGGATACATCCATCACCAACTCGGAAGAAATCTGCAATTATCTCCGGTGGCCGAAAAGTACTACGTTTTTTGGTCAGTTACCATAATGATGATAAAAATCTTGGGCCATCGCAATCCACTAGGGATGCGGTTAAGGGCAAGAGCAATAGAGAATGCGTAAGCAACATGATATATCCAGCAGGCAACGTAGTATGAGCCGTCATCGGGGACGATGACACATTAACATGGGAAGGTGTTACGAATGTAGCTTGGCTTGGTCAAGTCAGCGCCCGTGTGTTGGCTCACCAGTGTACAACTGACAACACAATAGAGTGCACCTAAAAGTGCAATTTATATAGCCGCTCGGCGGCGGTCGTGGCTGAGCGGTCAGTGAATAGTTTCGCGGAATCTTAAGTTGACGGGTTCGAGCCCCTGCTCCGCCTTTGTGGAGGAGCGTTCTACTACAATTACAATTCCACCTCATTAATTCATTTATTTAATAAATCGGATTTACCTGCTCCCCATTTACACGAGAATCCCGGAACTTCTATATAAGTTCGTAATAATAATAAAAAGGCAGATATTAATTTACTGTTAACAGTTTTGTCCAAATTTAACTGTTGATTGTATTAAAGTTTTTTTATTATAAAAGTCGCTTTTGACGATCTCCCATTAGAATGTCGCATATAAAATTCACAAAATTGGTTTTATTATTTTCTCGTTTCATAAGCACCCAGAGTAGTTGAAACTTTGAATAAATTTTTTTAATACATTTTTGAAGCTCTGCACAAATTTTAGTTTAAAACTGACATTTAATTGCTTAAGGTAGTCAACCTCCTTAAGTTGATGTCATTTGTCTCCTTCAAAAAAATTATTTACAATGCATCAAATTTATAATTATGTATCTGTATAACCAATGAAGCTACAACGTTTAACAATTCGCACCGATTATCAATCTACATAATTATGTCTCTGCAAGATTCGAGTACTCAATATCGCCATAATACTTAAATTACCTTGCCTTAATAATACTTAGTACCTTACCCATTTTTATATCCATCCCTATAATTTTGTTAGCATCTATCATTTCTATCAAATTATGTACTAATAATTCTATAGTAACCCCAATAAGAACAGGTGTGTTAACATCGTTACTACTACTATTGCTATTGCACTCTTTTGCTATTGCACTCTATTACTATTGCTTGGTACTTAGTATTGTAACATGCTGAAAAAATTAGTACAGATTCGGAAAGTCCGAATGTTGTTTCGCAATTATCGTCAAGTTTTATTACTTTTAATAACGTGGTAACGTCTCTAACTTAGTTCATTTTTTTATACTTGATGACGTGTTTATTCCTTATGCATTCTAGATGTTTCCTACTTTACGCATAAAACACAATGAAACTGACCTTATAGTACGTGTATTTCAATACATAGTTATTCAGATAAATAAATAAATGTATACTTAAATAAACAATTAAAGGTATTAAAGTTATTATATGTAAGTACCTAAACACACATTCTGCATATGTAGAATACAGAGAATAAAAACTGCATTCAAGGGTTTAAAAGTACACATAATTAAAAATAAATTATTAACATCCCTACCTCTGCATGATTATTGAAGTTAGTGTTTTTATCCATAAAAATTTGTTCACAACTTAGATATGGTTCACTTTTTGCAAGGTTTTCAATTTTAATTGTGCTGCTAACATCTACAGAAACTTTTAAAGATCCTGTCTGCATTTTTTCAAATTCGACATCAGCATAATCACTGTTAAGCAAATCTACTGCCAGTAAGTACTCTGGATCGTTGTAGGCTTTAGATTTTGATTTACAATCATGTACAGTCTTTAAGTTCTTTTGCTTTGTATTTTGATTAGTTTTTTCTGAATCAATACTTGATTTTTTATCATTTGGGAAGTGATCTTTGAACGATTTTTTATTTTTAGTATCATTTTTTGATTCCTTGCATGATGATTTTTTATCTTCTTTTATATCTATATCTGCAGTAAAAATACACTGATCTTTATTTTTTATATCAATTAAAGATGTTAATGGAAGAGTTGTTTTTCTTTTCGTATTTGGATCAGGATTAGTTGTTTTAGAATGTGTAATATTCATTGCTGCTCCTATGATTTCAACAATTTGAGATGAACTTGAATTGACTTCTTCATTACAAATGTCTCCAACATGAAAATCAGATAAAAACGTACCTCTATTGGAATTCTGATCTTTTTTTTCTGATGCAACTGCCATAATTGATTGTCGTTTATCTAAATCACTGCAAGAATGAACTGTTCTCAAAGATGGTTCTGAAAGTTCGGAGGTACCTTTTGTTTCTTTTTCTATTAATTCTTCAATATCTCCAATTATTTCATTAATCTCATCTTTATTCATTTGTACAGCTTTTGGCATAATGTCATCAATGTGATTAGTTATAATTTTAGGTGTAACTTTACTAGCCAAGTTTGAATCAGAAAGAGTTTTTATTTTTTTTGTCTTGTAATCACTAGTGTCAGCACATTCACATGATTTCATTTCCACACTGTTTTCATTTTTATTTAAATTTTGGTTTTTTTTTAAGCTAAGCAAAGTAGATGTATTTTGAAACTGCTGCTGTAAGATTTCTTTAGCCTCGAAAGAAGGCTCTTCTAGTAACATTGACAAAGTGGAAGCACTAGCTGATGGTTCTTCTTGAACTACGTTTGGAGTAATTGTACACAAAGTGACTTTATTTAATTTAGGAAAATTTTGTGTGACTGCTGTATTGAGTACCTCAGAACTAGAACTCATTGCATTTGAAACTGTAGGTAAATCTGTTGTGAAAGTCTGTATTCTTGTTGAAGAATTTGACTTCAGCAAACTTGATGATGGAGATAACCTTACACTTTGATCAATTTTTATTTCTTTATCTTCACTTATAACTTGGCTAACTCCGTTCGTAATTAAAAACTCAGAATTTTTTTTTGGAGTATTAGGAACATGCAATAGAGACACAGATTGCTCATCATGACAAAAATGCCTTTTATTAAGTCCAGTTGTTTGTGTCTTGTGTTTTTTTTCCTTCTCGTCTTCAATGGCATGCCACATTTTTTGTAGTTTCACATCTGAAACTATTCCATTTTTTAATAAATTTACTTCATTTCTAAGCTGGAAATATTCTTCCCTCTGAGCAGCAAGAATTTTGGCTAGTTCTGTTATCCTATCTTGCGTCAAACGTCTGAGTATAAAATCAATCACTGTTTCCCCAACATCTTTTTTTTTCTTTTTTGGTACATCAGCATTTTCCACAAGATAACAATATTGTTGAACACAAGATTTTTGAGAATACCAATCTGATGGTCGTGAATTATCTCTGTCAGCAATTGATCTCAAAAAGCGAGAAATACTCATCCAATTTGGATCATCAAACTTTAGAACACTCGAAGCAAGGCACAGCTGCTCACGAATGCTCCAAACATCAGATGGAGCTTTCTTTAATTTTTGCTCTGAAATTATTTTTGATTGTGTAAATAATATTACCATTGAAATAGTTTTATCAAATAATAAGTTAACATTAAGCACCATGACCTTTTCTATAATTGTATAAAAATTACACAAAAAGTTATTCATTTACTCAATTTATAGACTACTAAGTATTCTGAGATAAAATAAATTCTAGTTTTCAAGCTCATAAGTTATAAACTCTAATGAAATCAGTAATATTGAGCCCACAATTTTAGCACAATTTTGTAAAGCCTAAGAAATTAGTTGTAGTAGATAATTTTGTTTATCCACTAAAAAAAGTAAATTCAAAATTAGACTCACTTTCCTGCATGTTGTCCATCTCTTAAAGGTAGTTGCTGAGAATACAGAATATATATAAATATATATACATATGTATTCTGTGGTATTAGATATTTTTAAGTTCATTAATTAATTGATACAATGCTTAAGAAACTGTGCAAAAGGATTGTAACTTAGAAAAAATCGAGGAAGATGTTCAAATTGTGCATCGCTTCATAAAAAAGGCTTCCTTGGACAATTACCCGGACGAATGCCATAGCATCGGACATGAGTCACGAAAGCAATTTGTTCGATTCGTGTACTAATGAAGTGTTAAAAAATGATGAAGAGAATTCCGAAAGGCAGGGTGCGCGTGCGCCTGGATCAATGCTTTTGGAGCGTTCTAAAAGTCTAAAAGCTAAAAATCGCAGGCACGCGTCTAAAGTGCAGATTTGTTATCGGCTGAGTAGATTTTAGGTGATTTGTGTAATAAGTCTGATATTATTAATGTGAAGGATCCTTTATAAACAAAAAACTTTAATTTAATTTAAATAACCTATGTGTGTACACCACCTAATAGATATACAATCATAGATATGTAAGAAAAATAGACTGCTCGTTCTTATGTACGGCGCTGAAGCACAAGTAGAAGGAGACACAACATCGAACGTGAATATCTGTCTCTCTTGCACATTGCCAAAGGTAAGAATGTGCGAGAGAGAGAGATACCCACGTTCGATGTTGTGTCTTCTTCTACTTGTGCTGTGCCTTAGAAAATATACATATACGTGGAGAAAGCATTGTACACGGAGAGATCTCTGGTACTACGGTAGTATGTATAGCCGCGTGCAACAGTAGTATAGTGCGTCGTATACGACTGCAGCGCCCGCGCGCCACAACGAAAGTATATGGCTTCTGCTCCCGTAGTATACAGGCCTCCGTGCAACTGTAGTGCGTGAACTATACTATCCGTTGCTTCTGCCTTATACTACAGTTGCAACGCTGATATACTGAATTGGTATATTACCCCGCTTACCAACTTTGCTCGGGAGCCATACCAAATCGGTATTGACCCCAAGCAAATGTGCACACACACACACACACACACACACACACACAAGTGTATATACATGTATATGTACGTCGTTTGATGCAGCGGTGGCGGCGGCGGCGGCGCTGCACTATACATTTATATCTATAACCTCGTGTTTGCCGCTCGTTGGAATGTATATGTATATATACATATTTTTTTTACAAATGATTGCAAAATACGTACTGCTTGTTGTACGATATTAATTTCATTGTAATTGACAAAAATAAATAGTTAAAATTTATACGTTGCTATTTGTAAATAAAAATAATTTTCAAATGATTTATTGTTAAAATACATGTTTTTCATTATGATTATCTTTTATTCATTTGCCTAATACAATACGAGTCCTTTTTTGCGAAACAGAGGCTATCAGCATGAACCTTATTTTTGCAATATACTATTTAGGGCTATTTTAGAACGCGTAGAGCTGTTAAAAACGATGTATGTGTAGTTAATTACTATTTCATTTTGGATAAAATTACCTATTGTATACATTATTTTCAGCAGCGCATATATATGCGTTTATTAGATCCCATCCGGTGTATAGTAGTATGCTATACTGTATGAAGCTCGAGAAAATATTATATTGTTTATTGCATATATACATCTATATATATACATCCCAACGAGCGGCAAACACGAGGTTATTGATGTATATGTATAGTGCAGCGCCGCCGCCGCCGCCGCCACATCAAACGACGTACATATGCATATATATACACTTATGTGTGTGTGTGTGTGTGCGTGTGTGCACATTTGCTTGGGGTCAATACCGATTTGGTATGGCTCCCGAGCAAAGTTGGTAAGCGGGGTAATATACCAATTCAGTATATCAGCGTTGCAACTGTAGTATAAGGCAGAAGCAACGGATAGTATAGTTCACGCACTACAGTTGCACGGAGGCCTGTATACTACGGGAGCAGAAGCCATATACTTTCGTTGTGGCGCGCGGGCGCTGCAGTCGTATACGACGCACTATACTACTGTTGCACGCGGCTATACATACTACCGTAGTACCAGAGATCTCTCCGTGTATGCTCCGACCGCGAGACGATATGAGAGAGACTAAAGACAAATAGCAGTACAAGCTTTCTCTCCCTTACACGCCTCTGATTAGTTGGCCCCCTTACGTACGTATAGGTATAGCCGTGTCCACAAGTGGCGGTCGTAGGGGAACAGAGCAGATATGTAACCAATTGGGATTCCAAAAGGTCACGTGACTCTCGCGGTATATCGTCATTTGGGGGAAAAATAACACAGGCCTTATAGGAGCAATTCTATTTTTATTTTTTTTACACGTTCAACGATTGCAATACGATAAAAGTCTTTCAGTAACATATTTTTGAGTAGATAACAATACCTTAGCTATTTTTCCTTATTTAATTGGTCTTTTGCAGCTTAAAACTTTTCTTTTAAAGTGCGAAAACGCACATTTAACCTGTACAAATTTCTCCCATTCCCGACTATATATAGGAAAATAAGCGGGATTTTGGTAAGGTTAAATGTTACACTTCAGATTGTGCACACTGACCCACTCTTTTATGACAACGAAATGTAACTTTTTTTCTCTAAGTTCGCAACAAATTGTATTGAATTTAGGCTTGACTGTTTTTTCAAAGTACTAGCTTACCCCGGTAGCACAGTCTTTGCGATTCTAACGTACTTCTTGCACAAGATTTACATTGACAGCGAAATTGTGTAAGTCTGCATCTAGTCTGCTTCAAAAATCTAACGTAATTCTGAAGCACGACAGGTGAGCAAGACTCTTGCGTAAGAAGTGCACAAATCTGACGATCAGTCAAGTGCGTTATTTATCTTGATTTGACGCACTTCTGATTGTGGCAGATTTGCNTCTGCATCTAGTCTGCTTCAAAAATCTAACGTAATTCTGAAGCACGACAGGTGAGCAAGACTCTTGCGTAAGAAGTGCACAAATCTGACGATCAGTCAAGTGCGTTATTTATCTTGATTTGACGCACTTCTGATTGTGGCAGATTTGCGCAAGATTAGCGGGCAGGCGAGTGCACAAAATCCTTGCGAAAGAAGTGCACAAATCTGACAATCAGTCGAGTGCTTTTTTGTCTTGACTCGGCGCACTCCTGATTGCTGCAGATTTGCGCAAAATTTTTGTGCAGGTGAGTACACAAGTAAGTAAGTAAGTAAGTAAGTAAGTAACGTGTATAAGACCATGTGGTTATAACCATGTTCGGTCTCAAATTTTAATTTTACAGAGTATAATATAAAATGCGCAAAAGTTACAAATTAGTTGACAAAAATAGATTTACATTTGAAATTAAGAGAAAAATNGTGTATTTCAAAAATGGCTAATAATCTTATTTAATTTTATGAAACATCTTGAGGGTGTCTGTGAGATAAGAAATAAATTAATAAGTGCAGACAAAGCTGCTAAAGGTTATAAAATACCAAACTATAGAATCTGCTGCACTGACAATATCGTGGTATACAACTACCGTAGGTCCCGTCAGTGTGACAAAATACAAGTCCCGACGGAAACATTTTTTTCTCCATCCAAACAATGTGTTTTGGGGCGTTTACAGTCAAATGAAATAGGTGAAAATTGAGAGGTTTGGAAAATTTTCGATAGCAAAATCTACAAGTTTCGAGGGCTAAAAAAAGTTCAAGTCTCTTCAGTGCCAAAAAATACAAGTTCCAAAGAAAAAAAAAAACATTTAGGAACATAAAAAATTTGTATTTTGAGACATTTACAATTGAATGTGACCGGTGAACATTTTTTAAACCACTCAATTTTCACTGATTTTATTTTACTGTGAATGTCCCAAAACGCATTGTTTCGATGATGGCAAAAGAAAAAAAATTTCCGTTGGGACTTGTATTTTGTCACACTGACGGGACTGATACTTTTTTAGCGCACGGAACTTGTTATTTTGGCTATCAAAAATTTTTTTAAACTCACAACCGTCACCTGTCTCATTCTACTGTAGAAGTCTCAGAATGCATAGTTTTGATGACGGCAAAAAAAAATTTTCCTTCGAGACTTGTATTTTTTCGCACAGTCAAAAAACCAGCTGACGATTTGGCATCAAAAATCAGCTGATTTATCAGCTGATTATTTTTAGCAGTGTTTACAATCAAGTGCAACAACCTCACACAGACGCTCAACAGTCTTGTTGAGCAAACTTTGCAAAGGAACTACAGCTTCATTCTCAGACGCAGCGCTATCTTCAGGCAAACATTTAAGCATCTCTTTACGGATTTCAACGCAAGTCAGATAATTGGATAAATGGAAACGTTTCGTATCTTTACGTAAATTTTGATATTTTTTTTATTGTAATCGTTCTCAAGGTAAAATGCTAAGGCAGATTCATTTGAATGTTTGACAAGAAAATTTTGTGAAACACTATTACTTAGGCTAACTGTTTCTTGCAAGTTACTCCGCTTTTCACATAATTTTAAAGATATAGTTTCAATAAATTATCATCACTCTCTGCCAGTTTAATAATGTCATGGGCTCTCTCATACAATACTGTTTTAGAGGCATCAGATACTGCAATACGTTATCTGCCACCTTTGGTGCTGTGCAGCCTTTTCAATTTTTTGAGTCGACCACTTTGTACTCCTGAAACCCCTTTTTTCCTTGGAGTCCTGGGCATTCTATAAATTTAAACACATTAAAAATACAGTTGTGAAAAATATAACAGTCTTGATGGAAAAAATTATTCGTAACATTATAAATTCAACTATTTTTTAACAAAATATGTCTTTTTTAAACAAAACTCATGTTTTATCCATTGCCGACCTAAGAATCAAATTATTATCAGTGCTCTCATTAGTCAATTAAAAAACGATCGGTACAGAAGTATATATGCCTTTAACAATGATTCCTCCCTGTACGCAATTAATGGTCAAGCCTCAAAAGTTGTCCTTGTTTAAGCCAACGAGTATAAATGTATATTTTGTCTTATTTTTATGTGAGTCGATTATTCTGA